TTCCGGTCGAAGACTCATGACGTCCAATGCGGTGTGCAGCATCGCGAGGCGCTGGCGCTCCGTCGCGTGCAGCGGCGACGGCACGTCGTAGGCCGGTGAGGATGGCGCGCTGCGGCGGTGCGAGCACTCGTGGCAGCACTTGGCGAAGCGACCCGAAAGTTTGACCGAGTTGGGCGGCTTCTTGCTCAAGCAGTGCTTGCACACCGAGCCTTGGCACTACAAGTCGATGCATGATGATAGATGTACACAAGGCGCAGGAGGATGGGCTACCATGCGGCAGACGTGGCGGCGCCGGAGAATGTGGAAGGCGCGCTGGCAGAGCGCGCAGGCCGTCGCCGTCGGCTCTGCCCAGTCGAGCGACTGCGACGGGCTCTGGAGACGGATGCTGCTTGGCATGCTGCGGCGAGTGATGGATTTCGTAGTGTGAGCAACTGGCGGGTATAAAAGATACATCGGAGCGGTATGTATTCTTGGAGATTTTATACCTTGACTGTCTCATATGACGTCAATGTTATCAAAAGGGTCTCGAATGACGCCATTGACGTGGGCGATATGCGTCGTCGTGGACGGATCGCTCGCCGAGAATCGGAATGCAACAGCGATCTGTGGTCAGCAGCATCCAATCAAGCGCGAGGCAGTGTGGCCGGAGCGTCCGCGCTTCCCTGGTCAAATATTACGCAGCACGTGTTCAAAATTGGCAAAAAAATTGGTGCAACAGCAAGCACCTCTAGTCACGGTCCTCACCAGCAAGGGTGCTGGCGCGTGAACGTCGCAATAACGTGATGTTTATGATATAACCAAAGTTCCATCGCTTCACCAATAATCGTCCAGGTTAGGAGTTGGGTGCTTGTGGAGGTGATTGCTGTCTCCGCTGCAAGATGGGAGCTCGTGAGTACATTTCAAGTGATGGCGACTAATACGAGTGTGCTTTGTCGGCCGAGATGGACAACGTTGCTCAACTGGCTCCGATACCTTGGACGCGGTAGCAGGCGAACACAGCTACTGGAAGGATAGCGAGCCAGAACGAGAGAGGCAACTAGCTCCAAATGACGTGTATGTGGGCCCCACAGCTTGCGGAACAACACACAATATGCGAAACAAAACGAGACATATTTGAGAATATACAACCTCTCAGAACGAATACGCGCGTGGTGCAACCCCTCGAAGATCGCTACATAAATATGGGGACGTTGGCGCCATTTTATAGACACCCACCTTTGGAGCTCTCGGTGCTTCACTCATGATAGTTGGCGGCCGCATCCCGTGGTATGACTTATAAATGGGGCCAGCGCAACGTCAGCACCCCGAGTTGGCATTGGCTAAAGGCAACAAACGTGCTTTCGACGATGCTGGCGATCGGCCGCAATGGCCAGATGTGCTCCCACACCCCGAAGCACACTGAAGGAGGATATTAGCGTCGGCGTGAGCCCCACGTTGCCGCGATGCAGCAACGAGGCAAGACTGCATTCTAGCTTTTACTGGCGCCGACTCTCCGCGCTCGCAGCACGCGTCCGCTTGAGAATATATATGTATCCATCACGAGACAGTCGACGCATAAGATTCAATGCGTCGACTGTCTCGTGAGAGAAATCTTACTCGGTCCTATTCTGTGTCGGGGTGTAATACCTTGGTCAGCTTCGCTCCTTTCTACGCTGCCTGCGTATTGTACCTGCTTCCTTAGGAGTCGTCGCGCTCCGAGTCTCTTGGGGATGAACACGACAACGCAATGTTAGGTTCAGACGGCATATGCTTTACCTGGACTCTAGAGCTGGCGTCTTGCGTAGTGTACCCTTACGTAGATAGATAGATAGATAGATAGATAGATAGATAGATAGATAGATAGATAGATAGATAGATAGATAGATAGATAGGATGTTGCATCACTACAGCCCTACATATTTCAGTGCGCGTGCTTCGAAGAAGCGTCGCTTTGGAAGCGAGGAAGTATGCCCGCGTGTTTTCTGTGGACCAGGAACCGATTTTTCGGGATGTGGTCCACAAGCATGTGCACAACTGGACTATACCAGACGAGCGGCTACATAAGAAAACGAGAAAACCTCAAAGCAACAAACCAACACGATCCACTTAAAGTACACTACGACGACGACGACGACACAACGATCATCGATACTGGTTGTCCTGCGACGACAACTGATGCAGCGTGTCGGTCGACTGGGAGAGGAGCTTGGCGAGCATCGACTCGATTTCTGTTCGGGAAATATCCCGCTGGAGCTCGGGCGCTGCCGGCGGCGGTTCGAGCACGAGGGGCTTGTCCGTGTACACGACTTCGCACATGTCGACGTCAAAGGCCATGTGTCGGTCGAGGAGCGGCACCGCGTCGTCGTCGTCGTCGTCCATTTCATCGACCGTCATGGTGCTGTC